CACAGGGAGAAAAGAGTCTGGTGGTCTTTTCTTAACAAGCTGCTGGTATCCAAAATAGTGAAAATCAGATGACTGAGGACCAGAGCAGAGACATCCACCTCCCACTTGCCCACCTGGCTCCACTCCAGCCATCTCTATGGGTCTGTGGCAGTTTTAAAGCTGATGTGTCAAGTTAGTGAAATAGCAGCTAAATCTAAGAAAGAATTTTTGCTATGATCACTGTTGTCTATAAAGGTGTTTACCACAACTGTATACATAAGACTTACATATGGAAAAAAAAATTCAGATGTATACTTTGTATGTATGTTCAGCAGTGACACTTCCCCTTCTGCTTTTCAGTGCACACAGCAGTATTCAGAATTGCACTATTAGATCAATTTGAAGATGCTCCAAAACAGCAACTGTAGAAATAAATACTTTTCAAACCTTAAATGCTGTTTGTCTTTCTATTTCCTCAAAGCATAATGAATTGGAAAGGAAAACAAACTGTATTTTTTCACGCTAGTTTAAATAAAAACAAACAAACAAAAAAAACCTCACACCTTGGATATGTAGTTAGTTAAAATGTGGAAGTGAAGGGAGCAGAGCAGGTTTTCAGCAGATTCAAGTACTTCCATTTATAGAAATTGAAACCCTTGTTGGTGCAGTGATGCATCTGCTAATGAGGTCTTTGTGCCACACACATGTGTAACTGAAGTTACAATCATTATTTGTTTACCCCGGATTAAGGAATTATTCATTTACTAATTTAATAAATTGTGTGATATCAAGGCAGTAGGCGGAATTCAAACTTGATTACATCTACATTTTGGTTCTCTATAATGCATACACTAGCTCAAGTTTTTGCTGGGTCCTGGAGTCCCTGCTAGGTAACTCAGTCCCACTGCAAGCAGTAGGGTGTGGTACTTAAAAAAAAAAGACAGAAAGAAAGAAAAAATCAGAAGTAAAGGCTTTAATGCTTCCTTTTCGGATTTTAGTTTTTGCTTAGTATGCATTTTGTATAGATTTTTCAAAACAGAAAATAATATCAGTTAAAAAGCTTATATTAATAAAGAAAGGTCAGAGAAATAAAGAGAAAGGACACAAAATCCTTCCGTTGCTTCTACACCAGCTTTGAATACTTCTCAGGGAGCCTCAGATTTAAATGTGCTTGATTTAATACAGACGGTGACCTACCTCTATGTTCACTCACTGGGCTTGCTGACACTCATATATCATGCCCTCTATTGCCTTCTTCAAGCACAGGTCAGCAATGCCTTTGGCATCAGAGCCACCAGTATCTTCGAGCAGATTGCCAGGCAGCCCATAAATGCTACTAATGCTCCAGGACTGGATGACCCTTGTCAGCTGCTCTAGGGAGCAGAAAGCAAGAGACCTTTCAGAAAGTAGCTTGCCTCAGTGGCACAGTGAGTTTGGCATGAGGTCCATGAGCATCCAAGATGCATAAGGAAGGGAAGTGGGACAGCAGTTGAATAAAGAGAAAATATATCACACTGTGTCTGGGAAGGGCAATAACTTCTTCATTCAGTCCTGTACTGGTGTGGTAGATGGGTGTATCTTTTGGACTGAATAGAGAGAAGAACATAAGAAGTGAGGGAGAAGGTGGCTATTGAAGCCTAAACTAATATCCAAGGGAAAAATCATATACAGCACAATAAAAACATTTCTGCTGTCTCTTTTTCAGTTGGCCTGAGTCTGGCCCTGGCACCCTGTGGCAGCACGTGCCAATATGTGCTGCTCAGCCCCACACTCAGGGTAAGCTCTTCATTCCTCACAATATCAGATTAGCCAGCAGGATCCCAGCCCAGTCTCCATCTGGTCACGTTCAGAAGACCTTGAGTTGCCAGGGAGGCAGCTGTGGCCAGCTGTGGGGCTGATACCCCAAACAGAGCCTGCCAAAGGTCAGCAGGCCAGCTGCAGGCCTCCTGGGATCCCAGGGCCCATCTGAGAGGAGAAGGGAGAAGCGATGAGCGAGCAAGGGGCTCTGCAGAGGAGAAATGGAGGGAGGGAGTCTTGATGTGGGAGGGAAGAATTGCTTGCTGCCACCAATGCTCCTGATAAGCAGGCCAAGCTGGGAAGAAGGGGATGCTGAATTCCCCCCAAATAAAACACATATACTCCAATGATGTGCCTTTTAAAAAGATGTGACTAAAAACACTGTAATGAAGCTTGTTCTTCAACCTTTGCTCTAAGAAGCCCAGGAAGAGCTCATTACAGCACACATGAATTCACAGCACATTCTCAATAATACATAGACAAACACCTCACAAGGGAAAACATTCTTAGAAAAACAAATTTATATCAGGCAGAAAAGATTTCCAGGCACACATCTACACAGACAACAGCTTGAAATCCCGGGAAGCATACGTAAGTACATCTGATATCCACTGATTCACAAACACATTTGTAACACTTCAGGTGTGAAAAGCACAGTCATTATCAGCACACAGCAGTAACACATCAACATACGGACAAAATCTTCCAGAAACATGCAAACACACTGAAGAGGAAGAAATGGGCCTGGAAGTACAGGCCCACAAGGCAGCATTTCTTATGAATAAGCCTAAAGCTCAGCTCTTCTGATATTAGAAAGGTAATCCATGACAGGTTTTAGTCATGGTTACTTTTTGGACATGGCTACCTGTAACCTGATATGAGGAAATCTTCATTTGAAGTGGACTATCCTGTCATATTTGGATTCACTGCTCCTTACATCTCTTACTCCCTAAGCAGATTTTTTTCCTGATATTATATTTAAGAGATCTTTGAGAAGTTCCTCTGTTAGGTTTGTAATGTACAGGAAGACTTTTGATCTGAGATTAAAATAAGCATTTCTTTGAAGATCTCTGCTTGGTTTCTTAATGAAAGATACAAGAAGCTCATCAACAAAATATAAGCCCAGTTCAAATTCAATCAGAATATACTCCAAGAAAGCATGTATTTCAGAGGTAGAATTAAAATATAACATGAATTTTATTATGAAAATGATGTACTCATTTCAATGAGGGAGTGACAGAAACTTCTGACATCTCTGTTATATTAGCCTGAGGCTATGAGGCATTGTTCCATCTGTTTGTCAGTAGGTGAGATTCCTTATCATTATTAGTGACCACACAAAATGTGACCACAACAGTTATGTCCCAAGACAGTGGCATTTTACACCTTGTTCCTTCCAATCTACCGGCTAAAGCTGGTTTCACAGCACAAACTTCCACTCCTCCTGAGGCTTACAGCACATTTAGGTTCACAGAAGCTTTGTTTATAGATGTGCTATGATCAAGAGTTGGTTTTCTCGATGTATATAACAACAGCTATGAGGCAATGGACAAACATCCCAGAGGTTGGTACTTCTGCTAGCTCTCTGAAAAGCCAGTCTCAGAAGTATTGACCTTTTTGCAATGCTCAAAATGTCTGCCAGCCAAAGAGGGGTGTACATTACCAACATGTGATTTGCTGGTGTTGCTCTGCATACTTCACAGGAGATCACTTGCCAAGGTCAACACAGTGCAGAATGAAATGCAGAAAGTTTCCCACTTGGCTCCATAGTAAACCATAACTTAGAATGCTTTGCACTGTCTCCTGGCCATAAGTAGTGTCCTTGAGACTGCAAGCAAGTCACCAATGCAGCAACTTGTGAGAGATTGTGAATAAAGGCTCAAGATCTTACACAAAGATTTCTACAGAGGGCTCAGGAAGTTGTCACCCACTGCCAAGAAGGACTGCATTTCAGTCAGGCACTTGCACCCTGGAGCATGTGCAATGATATAATGTTTGTACCCTTACACAGGATAAGTGCTTTTCAACCACTTTTTCTGCTTGCTGATTATTTGGGATGTATTTATAAAGACATACAGATCATTCTGGAAAAAACTCTTCCTGAATAATTGCAGAGAAGAAAACACTCACCTCAAGGTCACACAGCATGGGCAAAAGGTGACATTCAGGGGAAGCGTGCAGGAGGGGGCACACTGCGTCCCCACAGCCTGCTGGGGCAGGTGACCTGCATGCCGTGGGCCATCCTGAGGGTATTTCCTCAGCCTTGTGTTGTGAATGCTGCCAAAGAGCAGTCAGGTGGCAGCTTTCGGAGAAGTGACTAAGCTGGGCTAGGTTCAAGTGAAAGATTTATCAGAGGTGAATCACCACTTCCAGGTCCATTGGACACCCATTGCTAGCAACACAAACACAAATGGCAAAGACATCCCTAACCCATGCTAGTGAATTGCATCTCTCTTTCCACTTGGTGTACTTACCAAACAAGACATTCCTGGGTGCTCTCAAGGAACCCATTTCTCCCTCACAGGTCTCTTAGAAAAGTTTTTGATTGCAGCTAGAGAAGCGTAAAGGGTTGGAATTGTTTCATGGGAGAAGGAGGCAGATAGCATGCCTGAAAGGAAATAGCTGCTAATCCCGAAACTCATGAAATTTTAACCTGGCTGTTTCCAGGTCCACACAACTGCAAATATTAAGTCAAGGATTTTCATCCTGACTAGTGGGACCAAAAGGCAGTAGGAACAGACACTTGTTCCTTGTTGCTTTCTGAATATTGCAAAATGTACCTTGTGGGTTGTGAAAGAAATATCTGTAGTCTGTTCTTAGAAAATCTGCTAAATTTGTCTTTGCAAAAGCACTGAGAGTGATTGAGTTCAGAATTCCCCTACAGCGTATCAGACCTGGGTCATGCAATCTTTCACAGAAGGAAATGACCATGCAATCCTGTAGCCAAGTCCTGACACGTTTGGTCTTTGGATTCATGGACAAAAGTAATGGCTTCGCAACAGATGATGATTATTAAATATTATTGCCACTCTCAGAGAAAATAAAGGAAAGTGCTAGTAGCAGGAGGGAGAAACCGACCCTGCAGAGTTCTGCTTCCCCGTGAGCAGCACTCATGCGGGTGGGGGAACAGAGAGCTCCCAGCCAGGCCAGGCGCTGCAGCCCGGCACCCGCGAACACCCGGGGATGCGGTTAAAGAAGCACTAGGCGAGCCGGCTGTGTGATAGCACACTTTATTTGCAGCAGGGTTTCCAGGGCAGCACACGCGTCCCGAGCCCCGGGGGCTGCTCCGAGCGGCGGCATCGCCCCCAGCCCCGACGATGCCGAGCCGGGGCCGCTCCCCCCGCCCGAGAGCTTTTGCGGGGCGACCGGACGAGAGGCAGCCGGGGTCAGCCCCGGAACGGGCGGTGGCCCCGGCCCTTCATAGCGCCTGGTAGGTCCGTCGGGGAGGCGGCGAACCGGGCGTCCCGGGCCCCGAATCGATGCTGGCGCCTGGCGAGAGGGAGCCGGCGTGGCGGAGGGGCAGCCCCGGCTCCTCCGCCGGAGACAGGCGGTCCACGATGCTGGAGAGGCAGTCCAGGCTGGACAGCGCGCCGCTCTGCTCCGCCGCGTAGCCTGGCACCGGGGCGAGCCGCTTACCGCGGGCCGCCCAGCCGCGACCCCCGCCCGCCGGCCGCCCCGAGCCCCCCGCCCGCCGCCGGCCTTACCGTGGGGCATCTCGGGGCAGTAGCCCGCCTCGAAGCTGCTGCCTCTCGCCGACCAGACCGGGCTGCCGCAGTCCGCCTGCAAGACAGCGAGGGGCCAGTGCCGGCCCGTCCGCCCCCCAGCCCCCGAAGCGTCCCGGTAGAGCGGGCGGCGGCCCCTCGGGTGCGCTCCAGCCAGGGTCGCGCCTCCCTCCCCGCGCACGGCCCCAAGCGGAGGGGACAAAGGGCGAGCAGATGCTGGTGCGCCTGCTGGGTGCCCTAAAACCCATGTGCAAGCTTAAATCTAGGAAGGGGCCGGGTGGGAACCGAAACCGTCCAACATTTTTAAGATTTAAGCCAAGCTATCCACCTTTTCCCAAAGTCCCGCTGCCAAGGGCCCTTGCTCGAGCCCATTGTGAGCTGTCCCTCACCCTGCCCTGCTCTTACCATCCCGTCGGAGCAGCTGGAGCTGGGGCTGGTGGGCTCGGAGCAGCTCTGTCCCGGCAGGTGATAGTAGTTCTCCACCTGTTCCCTCAAGAGCTCCTGGAGGCTCTCAATGTACCTGATGGCGTTCCTCAGGATCTCCACTTTGGGGAGTCTCTGGTTGGGGTTGGCTGTGGTGCACCTCTTCAAGGTCTCGAATGCTTGGTTCACTTTCTTCAGCCTCCTCCTCTCCCTCATAGTGGCTGCCTTCCGCCGGTCCATGGTGGTGGATTTCCTCTTGCAGGCTTTGCAAGCCCACATGAGGCAGTGGCCGGCCTGGTGGTGCCCACTGGGGGCCCGGACGTGCTCCTCTTCCTCAGGGCAAGCAGGCTCAGTGGGCGCAGGGGCTCCAAAAGGAGGCAGCTCCCTTGGCTCGAAATCCTCGGGGAACTCACCCTCAGGAGATGACAGGCAGGAGCTGTCATAGAAGAGCTCGGATGGGGAAAACTGGCAGCTGTCCATCACCTCCATCTCTTCGTCCGAGGCAGCAGCGTGGGCTGGCAGCTCGCAGCGCAGTGCAGTGATTCCCTCTGCAATTAGCGACCCGAGACAAAGTGGCCGCCGGCTGATGCGGGGCCCTATATACGCGCATTGTGGGAGGTTGGCCCGCAGCGGCCCGGCTCCATTAGCATATCCCCCGCAGCCCCTGCCTGGCTGGGCAGGCCCCCTCTGGCCCCCAAGGGGCTGATTTGCTCTTCACCCGCCTTCGGGCAGCAGACAAGCTGGCGAACAGTCTCTAAAGCCTACACCAAACTGGGGAGCTTGGGGAAGGAAAGAAAAAGATGGGTAGTGAGTGCATGGTCCATGGACATTCCCCATATCATCCCCCCCATCACCTTGCCATCACCAAGGGGAATGAATCCCACCGCACCCGCAGTGCCTGCTCTCCTATCCTTATTCCCACACTCCAGATCCAACCTGACATGATTTACTCCTCTTTCAGCACTTGCATTCACCCGTTGATCTCAGAAGGCACTTTGTCCTGTAATTAAAGCTGTGTTCCCACAAGAGGGGACAACAAGGACAGCTACGTGTAGCAAGGAGCAGGCAAACAGATGTTTGTGCTCTTGGGTTGGGTCACACGTAGAAGCGCTCACAAAGCGTGTTTGCTGCCAGACAAACTCCTTCCCATTGCTTATCCTCCGTGTGCGACCTGATGCTGCCAGAGACACAACAGCCGCGCAGTGCCCTGGGCCCGCTGATTTTCTGCTTTCAGGCCAACTTGCACCGTTACAGATGCGTCCCAGCTGCCGGCATAACAAACCCCTCCTGGAAGTGTAAAATTTCTAACCCCAAACCTCTCGGTAACTTTACACAGGGCAGGGACAAAGCCCCGCGGAGGCCCAGCCGCAGCAGTAGCGGGCAGAGCTGCGCAGGGGTCATTAGAGCGGTAATGAAGCCATTTAACAGGCAGCTGCTAATGTGCGGGAACCCTTTGGTTTCAGCCAGGTGGCTTTTGCAGTTGGGGAAAATATTAGGAGAGTGCAAAGGAAACTTTCCCTACCTGGGAATAAAATTATGTCATTAGGCTACCGCAGACAGAGGGAAAGTAGCCTGCAGTGATTCGGATGGAGTGTTGTGGTGCCGGGTAGAGAGCCACAGGGCTGCAGCAAGGGCTGTGGGAAGGGGAAGAAAGGGGCATTCCCACCCCTCTATCTTCAGGAGCTTTCAGAGGGACAGTCTCAGACACAGCGCCCACCCAAAGCTTCTGCACCTGCCTGAGCAGTAAGCAGGGTCTTGGGTTAGGATCTCCCCCTGACCCTTGCAGGACCCCTGCCCTGCACTCTCATCCCTCTCCTGCCAGGGTAAAAAAAAAAAAAAAAAGACAGATTTCCATACTTAGGATGGAACTTCTCCTAAAGGAAACTGCAAGCATGTATGCACCCTTCTATAAAAGAAAGATCTAGGGGCTTGGGAAGGCTGTATCTGCACTGCAGTGGTTTATTTGGGGCCATAAGTGGGGTGAGCCCCCTCTGAAAGGAATACTGCAGGAAAAGCAGAAAGTTGCTCTAAGGACTGAAGTTACAGAGAGGCAAGGCCGGGCACGTCGAGCTTGTGTCGGGCCACGGGCAGCGCGGCCGTGCCCTAAGCCGCCGGCCGGGAGGGCTCAGCTCCGCGGTAACGTGAACCCGTCACTGGGCTGCAGCTCACCCCCCCCTTCCCCCCATTTGATGTACGGCGTTCGCGCCGGCTGAACTAGAGCTGTGTGCAGCTTTGTGTACAAACACGCTCGGTCCTTTTCGGGCCGGCAGCCGCTCTCCCACCGCCCGGCGCCGTGCGTGCGGTGCGACGGGGCCGGGGCTGCGCGCACCGCGGTCCGTGCGGGGCTGGGAAAGCCTCGTCCGCCGTGCTTGGCCGTCTGGGGGTGGGGAGAGGGGAAGCTGTGCAGCACAAAGCTTGCACTGGTGTCCCTCGGGAGCGCCCAGCTCCTCTGGTAAAGTGATCTCACAACAAATTCGAAGTGCGGCAGGCGACTGGAACTAACGAGAGGGGAGCGCAGACGCAGACTTACACGGCTGCGGCTGCAGGGGAGGGGGCTTCCAGCCCTTTGCAACAAAATGCTTCTGACGGAAACCGCGGGGTATGCGGGCTTGGGGGTGGGCTCGGCCCGCTGGGGCAGACCTGTGTCTGTGCGCTGCCGCAGCGGCCGCTCCCGGCGAGAAAGACGCGTTTGGTCCCCGTGCTGGGAACGGCGCACCTAAGTAAACACATCGGTACCTGTCGGGGGGGTCGGGTGGGGACAGCTGAGGAAGGCATTGGCCTCTGCCGGCACTCCGGGACTCCCAGGAGAGATCAAAGGGACGCGCGGGGGCTTTTAGCAGCCCTGGTACTGGGAAAGTCGCAGTTCCCGCTGCCGGAGGGCTCCCGGCGAGCACATGGCTCCGTTATTTGCCTGCTCTTCCCCCGCCCCCCGCTCCCGTTCCCCTGCCCGTTTGCTTCAAAAACCCTACGCGTTCTCCAGGCAGCTGCCGCCGCCGGAACCGCGCGGGCTGTGAGCGCTCGGCCGTGTCCGTCCCAGCGGGCCGGCAGCCCCGCGCTGCGTGCGGGCGGTGCGCTCCGTGCGGGACGGGGTGCGGCGGGGCGGGAGGGGGGCAGCTGCGTTACTCAGCGTGAGTGTGGTGCGCGGCCCCTCTGGAGAACAGACGTGATTAAAGCACAGACCTCGTGTGATCGTCCCCCTTTGATAATGTGGTTCAGGGCACTGTTCTCGTTTCGGACTTGGGTACGGGTTATCGTTATTAGTATCGAACGCAGACGCTTGAATTGCAAACACAGCGAGGACGTTCCCGTCGCAGGGAAGCCCGGGGTCACGGGGAGCCCCGTCAGAGGCGTTCTGCTGAAACGGGCTCCGGCCGATCAGAAGCAAAAGCGAATGAAACGACGGCGCTTTTTCGCCAACGCTTGTGGGTTCCTGTGCTCTCCAGGCCGAGGAGAGCGAGACGTCCCCGAGAAGTGGCTGCGACCTTTCCAAACCAGAAGAGAAAACGGCTGAAAGCGTCTCCCCTCCTGCGCGGCACCGCAGGACCGGTCCGGGTTTAATGAGCAGGAGGGGAACGCAGTAACACAAAGAGCTTTATTTTACAGTCCGAGGAACCCTTTCTTATATACAATATCACGTCCGTCATTTAAATACACATCTGTCATGTTTACAAAAGGCAGTACTGAAATTATTTACAGGAGCGAAACGAGGCGGGGACGCTCTGAGCACGACGCAGACGAAACGCAGCCAAACGGCTTCACCCTGACAGGAATGGACTGCTCGGCTGGGCGCAGGGCGAGCGCTCCGCCGGTACGCCGCTAAGTACCGTCAGTTAAAAATAATAATTAAAAAAAAAAAAGACAGGGGGGGTGGTCTGTGGGTCAAAACTTCAAGAAAACAAAACGGGAGATACAAAGAGGGGTGAGAGAAGAGTCCGTGCGGCTCGGGTCTCCGAGGGCAGTGTGTCCCGAGGCGGCCGCACCGCCGCGGCGCTCATTTCTCCACCACCTCCTCCGCGCCGGGCAGCTTGGGCTCGTCGGAGGAAATGCTGTCCACGATGGAGGAGAGGCAGCGCAGGCTGCTGGAGGCCGACGATTCCACCATGGAGCCCCCTGCTCGGCGGGAGAGAGGGGTTAGGGAGCGGGGGGAGCCGTCACAGGGCGGGTGAGCGCCGGGCTGCGTGCGAGCGCCGTTACCTGCTTTGGGGCTGCCCCCCAGCGCGCGGGAATGGTCGGAAGCGCCGTGCCAGTCGGAGCCGCAGGTGCTCAGGAAGTCGGAGCCGGGGACCTGCGGCGGGGCGCGGGGAGAGGGGCGCTGCGTTAGCGAGGCGGGCGGCGGGGCGCGCGCGT